GAATGCCACCAACAGTTTCATGTAGTCCTCACTGTGCTGTCCAGCTGCTTAACTCAGGGAAAATCAGAAAGGATATGCTCAGCAGTATGTCCTATTCCATTGTCCACAGACTTTCCCCCCCCCGCCTTCTTCTGCATTTCTAGTTAACATACTTGTTGTCTGGAATAGGTGGCACCATATTACAGTGCACCGACAGAAGAACTTTAGAACAAATCCATAACATTTTTTATTAAAATAACACCAAGTTTAAGAAATCAATGCAGTGCAAAGAAGTTTCAACTTATCGTAAAAAAAACAATTTCCATCCTTAAGTATGTAAACTGCATTCCAATCCTGACATGATTGAGGTAATACAGAAACACTGTATCCCAGGTAAATGTCAAAGTTAGAGACTGGCATGCTGGGCAAGGAAGGTTCTTATTCTTTGCAAGAGTTCTTTCTTTACACTGTCTGGTACCAAGGCTGAAACACAAATGAGAAAGCAAGAAGTGAAGACAAAATGGAAAATAGGCCGATACCAAGATCTTACAACAGCTACTTTTATTCTTTCTTTGTTCTTGCAGTTCTTTTAATAACTAAAGTAACTGAAGCTACTTTATTTTCATATTGCACATCTACATTTTTCCTACTTAAAATAGGCTAAAATCAAAGTTTATTGAGAATGCTGGATTACTGGTAGTTTTTTGCCTAGCCATAGTCAAGAAAATTGGATAGTTTGGAGGAAAGGATTAAACAACAGTAAACAGGATATAACCACCTGAAACTAGTTTGATTATCCTAGCTTTTTTTTTTTCACAAATTCAAGACCAAAAAGAAAAAACATCTCTGCCATGATCTTCATCAACTTATTTTGAAGACCTATTTTTACTTCAGCCTTAAAGAATTTGTTTCTCCCACTAACACCGAAGCCTATTAGAGTTCAGGAACTATACACAGAAGACTGCAGTATTTCCTTAAGAGACTCCATTTTTCTGTATCTGTATGCTGTGTCCTTTCCTTTTCCCACTTCCCAATTCACTAGTACTGTTAGTTCAGATTTTCCACCTTAAAAAGAATTTTAAAAATCTCTGCTGTATACCCCAAGTTTTCTTGGGACCATTAAGTCAATAACTAAAATTAATACAGACTCATGACTAACGTAACGTCCAACAGTAATCTACACACACAGATCATTACAGAGTCTGAATGGCAGTTATACAACACAAATGCACATCTTATTTGTAATTAGTAACCAGCAATTAATGTTTTTCCTTGAACCCAACCCAGCAAGCTCATAATGCTGTTTTCAAAATGTTAATGACATATAGGTAGGTTTGTTTATTGAAGCACTACCACATCCACATTTGCATTTTGTTACCTCTGCCTTTGGGAGTGATTTCTGCCACCAAGTCATCCACGGTAACGTGCTCCAGTCCTTTTTCTTTAATGACATCTGGGGAAGACCAAGACCGATATGTTAAGTCTTTTAATGCATTCATTAGAAGGAAAAGCCTGTGCCAATGATGAAGAGAGAAAACCTGCATGCATAGGTCATCAGAGAATATGAAGTAGCCTGTGACCTAACTCAGCACTCACTGCACCGTACAGTGGATCTGGTCTGCATATCAGAGGTTTACAGATGGGAACTTGTCACCACTGATCCATCTCTATCAACTCATATTTTAAAATCAAAAGTTACAAAACTTTAGCATGAGCACTGCCAGAAGTGCAAATTACTCAAGTGTTGGAGAGTTCACAAGTTCGTTGCTTATCTCTTTAAATGCATTATTTATTTAAGTGAGAAAGAGATGCAGTTAGAAAAAGACTTTGGAACATACAAAAGGGGAGAGCACAGAGACAGCAAATACTAACTGCCCTTCCTAACTGGTTTAAACATCTCTATACATTTCGACAAAGTAAAAAAGCATATGTAACAGAAAGGTACATATCTACACCAAAATAAAAAAGCAATGATTAAGATATATTGTATGATTAATCCACACCAGTATTTAATACACACCAGTTGTCTACTTATAGTGCCTTGAAGACTACTCAAAAATGGAAAAGTCAATGCAGAGAAGAAATCCTGATTCAGTGGCATAAACCTAAAATATCTTCCCTAAACATGAATGTTTTTACCTGTATCTCAGCCCACAGGACTGACTGTCCTCAAGACACTAAATATATATGCTGAACTGACATCACAGGAACTATTGTTAACTGTTTTTCTTGGCTGAATCCCCTGTAGAAATTAATCCTGGATTACTCAATTATTTGCCCTAATCCACAAGAGCAAGAGACTCTAGCAAAAGCTACTGAAACATCCTACCCCAACAAAACAACAAAGCAAGCCCCAAAAATCCCCCTCCTTCCCTTCTTTGGAGGTTATTAGGCCCTTAACAAGGACAAATGAACTTCTATTTGCATTTTCAGCAGCTCCAGTTACAGCTCCAAGTACTAACCTAAACCAAACAATTTTACATAACTACTATAGCAGAGTATAAAGTGTCTACTTCAAAAGGCAGAGAAACCTCCCTCTCACTACCTGTGCTGTTGAAACAGGGAAGCTCAGGCACTGCCATCAAGCAGACAACTGCAAGCACAAATCAATGCAGCCTTCTCTCCAAATCTACCATGAAAACAATTTAACACACTCAGCCCTACAAAAAGAAAAACCTTGTAATGGAATATGGAGTTTCCAGGCACAATAGACCAAACCAGAATTACAATGAAAGCTCAAGGGATTTGTTATGTTCTTTGAGGCAATTTCATCATGCAGTAACATTCCCGGACGCTTTAATACTATTTATAACAGTTTCCTACAATTTACATCAGTAAATTGTAGTAATGCTAAATACTTAAATCTAAAGATTAAGGTGTTTAAAGGCTCTTCTGCTTGTCTTCTCTCACCTAAGTAGATGATCTATTTTCAAGAATTGTATTCAGAATGAGTACAAATGCATTTTCTCTCCTTTATGTGGATAACAAAGTTATCTTAAGTTTCTAAGTTGTGTATTGTATTTGCTCCATTTTCCTCTATTTTGGATTTTATTCTCCTGTGGTAAGGAAGTCATCTCTCTTAAAACAAAAAGCTGTATCATCATGAATATGTAAGGAGTCAATTTTAATACTTTTCTCAGAAGCTTAATAAGGTTCAGCTCAGAGAAGTCTGTTTCAGGATATTTTTTTTTTCCAGGATGCTTTCTTGCACGCAAAACCAATCGCCAGCGATACTTTCCTCTTGCCCAAGTCCCACTTAAATAGATTGTTAGGCAGTAAAGCCTTCATCTGGGACTTCTATTTGTCCAGAACCTCAAGTTTATTACAAAGGATATTAGTTATTTCACCATTGTTACCTTTGCAATGTGCCTTCAACTGATCCTTCCAGCCACATTCAATTAGTTTGGCTCTCAGCAACTCTTTAAGGCTGTTAAGACAAGATACAAACTTGTTAGGAACAGCAAACATTCCTGTCAGTTTAAACAGGCTTCACTGTGAAAGTTAAACCTACAACTACTACCTGGAGCAGAACTGCCCTGACAGACCAGCAGCAGGAAAGGCTGAGGAGCATACAAATCCTAACCCACCAGTTAGTACCAGTTTCACTTTACCCTGCGGGACTATGAGGAGTTGGCGGCTCAGGAGCCAGACACCCAACCACCAGTTGCAATGATTTATCTACTCCATAAACCAACAAAGAATATTAAAAGGTAGATAAAAAAGGTGAAAATTAGTACAGGACAAAGAGAAGAAGGTAAAATGAAAGTAAGATATGATAAAACAAGCTTTAATATCTTTACCCCTTACTCCATCAGCAAGCCTACTTATCTTGTGCCAACCTAAATAACCCTAGAAAATTCCTGGGTTTATGACTGAAAGGATTGCAGCAAGAGGCTGAACTGTGTAGGTCTCATTCCTCTTACTCAGCAAACTTGCAGAGGGCAAATGAACTGACAACAAAAAGCAGAGTAACAGTACAGGTGAAATTCATTACTTCTGGGCATTTCTTAATTGAAGAAATACAAGTGCTTTGTCTCTGATCATAGTACAGCTCTGAAAAAACTTGTGCATAACACAGCTTTTGATACCCTGTCAAAACTCTTCTTACCCTTACGTTAGAAAAAAATAGGTCCCAAAACCAGTTCAAGAAATGGCTTGTTCTGCTGAAGCTCTGTGCAGACTCCACGAGGATGGTCACAACCAGGGAAGAAGTGGAGCACAGACACGTCAGCCTACAGAAGGTTACACTAGGTATAGGGCTATGAGATGACTCAAGAAGACTCCTTCTCAGACAAGCCTTGAAAAACTGAAGGAAATAAAGGCTTTGGTGCACGGTGTTAAAAATGTAATGACATGCTGAGAAGGGAATGCCATGAGCATGCTGGCGATACATAAATACAATGCAAACAGAACAGACTGAAGAGACAACAAAAGGTCAAAAACTATCTGCCCTGCTGCATTGCATAATTGACTTGTTTGCCTTTATTGGGATCTCTACAGTGACTTGCACAAGTGCTGTTTTACGTGTTCCACTGTGTAGTTCTTTCCTTAACAAGAGAAAGGATAGGAGCACAAAAATATTAAAAGCAAAAAGGAAAAGTTTTATCTCATTCTCTTTATTAGGAAACAACAAGATTTAACTACAACAGATTGCATTAAACGCATTAATTTTTATTTGACTCAAGAGCTTTCCAACACAAAACATCAGAATAAAGAAAATCTTTAGAGTTCATAAGCCAAGCTCCCCCTCCTTTATTTTCTCAGCTTCCCTTTTCAAGTATAAAGCTAAAATAAAAACTGTTCAAGAGGCCAAAGTAACCAGTGTTTTTTCTTTTGGTTGATTTCAATACATAGCTTTATATAATGCATAAGACTTTCAAATGCAGATATTTGTAGACTTTAGAGCTAAGTCTACTTATCTTTACTTCTAGGTATCATTCATATTTGGTAATATTTAAGGCCTAGTACTGACACGGGGTAGGAAGCCTACTTACCGTTCTCGCTCTCCTGTTTCTATTAGCTTTTGGTTAATGGTTGCTCTCATCTGGGCATCTTTATTCATTTTGGAAATCTAGCTTTTTCACAAACCTACACAGAGCAGAGCAGACTTTTGAAAAGTGCCAGAGTCGCGAACATGACAAAAAAGGTCGCAAGGTCCCGTGCGCAGAGTCACGGGCAGCGCCGCCTCCCTTCACACACCCCCGCAGTCCGTGACCGGGACACCCGTCCGTGGCCATCCTAGGGGACACGCACGGGCGCAGCACCCCGAGGCAGCGCTCACCCGGCGG